CCTGTCAGTATATTTATATCGGCAGATATTTTGTGTTAAGATAGAAATTAAAAGTGTATACTGCCAGTCACCCTCAGAACAGAGGTGAAGCCATTTTGTATTACAAGGCTAAGACAGACACAAAATTTCTCTCTCTATCACTCTATTCATTTAAGGCTGAGCTAAGGAATGCGACTTATGTAAACACAATTTCACACAAGAAAACCAGACATCAAATGACAGATAAAACTAAGTGTAACAGATCACCTGGCACCCCGACTGGGTACCTTCGTTGAAGGATGCTCCTAGCGCTTCCTGAGGGCTCCAAGTACTCTAGCCGACACCACAACCACCGCAGACTGAACCTCTCTTCTTTCAGAGTGAAGCAGGAACAAGCTCTTAAAAGAGCTTAGGATTTATTATAGCAAGGGAATATGCAGAGCATAGCAATCCCTTATAGCAGATTCCCCCAATAAGACAGGACTCCAAATTGAGGGTGAAGTAGAACTGAAGTTATAATGAACCACTCTGCTTTTATGCACATTTTACACACATAGTACCGCCCACAGGGTTTTGAAGAACAACCAATCAAATGCGTAATATATAGTAAAACACTGCCAATCATTGCCTCAGCCACTGACATAATTACTGAGCACAATGGGTTAATGTAATTATCACAGGCAGGAAAAATACAGTTTTTACACAATATTAATAACTTGCAAAATATACATGTCATTCGCATAAAACATACCTTTTCGGAATCAGCATAATTCAAATATAAACATACTCAAAAATCACAGCAATCGGTTCAGGGGTTAAAAAGTTAAGTGGAAGTCCTATTTGACAGACCGCAAGCACATTTTCATGCCCAAAAGAGTTCCCTAGATTTGGTCTGTGCGGTCAGTCTATTTTACTCTGAAAAATGTCTAAGTCCTATTCGCATGCACGAACGGGGCACCGTTCGTGCAAATAGCTTAGTCTTACTGTGTGCTCAAATCAGCGGTGTTCGTACAGATGGGTAGCCGATTTTAGTTCCATAGATTTGGCTGCACACACCGCTGACCGCGTTTGGCTGAAGAAAGATGGCCGCCACCACGTGTTCGTTTGTACGAACTGCGGCCACTCAGCGGTCGGCAATTTTCCTACAGCAGCCTCCCAACCCTGGAGGTAAATTAGCCGCACGCTTCCACTTCTGGGTGGTCGGCCTGTGTAATACTTGTTAGCTCCATTTACTGAACCAAGTGGGGGAAAGCCCACTGGGGACACCGTCTTAAAGGGGCATTGTCCCAAAAAGTCACAATATGACCCCAGATGGTTCTTAAAGGGCCAGCCCTAGCACAATAAAAATCCATTATGCCCCAATACTGTTTTTAAGGTGCACAATCTCCCAGGGACCATAGTCCCAAGGCATGAGACTGGCAATCAGTCCCCTCAAAAAAACAGTGGTGAGGTCCCTTTTGCCACACTAAGTAATTCATTTTACTTTCTAAAAAAAAACAAAAAAATGGAACATTAAGGTTAGGAGGTGTCAATTCTAAAATTACGACCGAAATTGCAGACACTTCAGAACTCTGAAAACTTTCATCTATTTCCATACAATTCTCTACACATCATACTTGCATTCAAAATTCCTGGGACATATCTACACATCTGATAGAAAATCTACAACCTAACTAGTAATTATGCTGGTTTTATTTAATTAAATTAAATTTTTATTAATAGCAGGAATATTTATTAGGAGAAATATTGGTCAGATTTCAATTATTAGAAATCATTATTAGCTAAGGAATATATGGTTATAAAAATTCCATTCCTGCAGGTGGAATAAAGATAACGATATGGTAATGGTAAATTTGCCAAATGTTAGCATACCACATTTTTATCCAGAGGTATTGACTTGTTCTGATATAAGATAGTGAATCTTATTTAGGAAAGTTAAAATTCGTCAAATGTAAAATCTGGTAGAATTATTCTTATTGGATGGTCCTAGGAATGGCGAATGATCTGGTATGAACATTACTTTAATTGTAAAATTGCAATATAATAGGATATCTTGCCTATGAGGATTGTAGCCAGCAGTGGAAAAGTTAACTCAGTGTGATCTGACTGTCAGCCAGATTTTTTTTGCTTTACGCTGCACTGCTTTGTACTTCTGTGAAGTTCTGTCTTCTCTGTGAATTTGGTTTCTAAGTGGAGTGTCCTGTCGTAAATCTTAGACTGTTGACAAATTGCATACAACTGGTTGCTTTAAGCTGTCTGTACTGTATTTAAACTATTGCCATATTGTATAATTATGTTATACCTAATTATTCACTGATTGCCACATTGTCTTTTTTTATCAGTCCAATCCAGGGGCAGAAAGAGTCTATCAGTCAGTTCCAGGATCCCAATCCTGCTATCAGCTAAAATTAGCTTGGATGCCATCACGAGTGGGAAAAAGTCACAGTGCAGAAAGTGGAAGGCATTTTCTAAAAATAAAAAAATATATATAGTTGCTCTTAGATTAAATTATACGTATCAGACTTACTTTGGAGCAGTCGGTAAAATGTGCCTTTATCACCTTCTCTGCTTCACTGTTAACGGGAAACTCCAGTGCCAGGAAAACAATCCATTTTCCTGGCACTGCAGGTCCCCTCTCCTTTCCACCTCCCATCCCCCGGTATTTGAAGGGGTGAAAACCCCTTCAGGTCACTTACCTGAAACCCGCCAATGTCCCTCGGCGGTGGTTTCTTCTCGCCGCCGCTCCTCCCACTCATTACGTTGACCGGTGGGAGAGACTGATCCCGCATGCGCATTAGATCTCCCCATAGGAAAGCATTGAAAATGCTTTTCAGTGCTTTCCTATGGGGAATTAAGCGACGCTGGAGGTCCTCACACAGTGTGAGGACATCCAGCGATACTCTAGCACAGGTTTTCTGTGCTATAGAGCAGGAAGTGCCCTCTAGTGGCTGTCTAGTAGACAGCCACTAGAGGTAGAGTTAACCCTGCAAGGTAATTATTGCAGTTTATAAAAAACTGCAATAATTACACTTGCATTGTTAAGGGTAGTGGGAGTTGGCACCCAGACCACTCCAATCGGCAGAAGTGGTCTGGGTGCCTGGAGTGTCCCTTTAACTTTGACTGCAGTTTAAAGGGCCAGTTTTACATCCAACCCCTGCAAGAAGCCCCATTTGATTTGAAGACTGCAGTTTAAAGGTAAAGACTGAGAATCAGAAGTCATTCTACCGGATTTCCTTCATCTTAGTTAGCTGGAAAAGCATGCTGTATAGCAGGGCTGCCCAACAGGTAGATCCCCAAATGTTGCAGAACTACAATTCCCATGATGCTTTGCATGCCTTTAGAATCCATTTGGAATGTTCTACAACATCTGGAGATCTACCTGTTGGGCAGCCCTGCTAAATAGCATGCTCTGCCAGCTTTTTGGAACCAAAGCCAATCACCTTCTTATTACCTTCATATGCTATCAGATGCTGCAGTTATACCATTGACTCTATGCCATCTCATACAAATTCTTCTGTTACCTTTTGTTTCACCTCCACAGTTTAACCTTTAGATTGTAAGCTCACAGGCAGGGCCCTCTACCTGTTGTATCGGTCTATTCTTATTGTATTGTCTTTTTCCCCAATTGTACAGCGCTGCGGAATATGTTTGGTGCTTTATAAATACCAGTAATAAATAAATAAACTCATCTTCCAGTTGTTTCTCCAAGTTTGTTAATTTGTCCCCACCTGGTGAGGAGCATGAGTCATTATCAGGAGCAACTCGAGTCTGGGGACATTCTGCAAATTATTAATACGACAAAATTATTAATACGGCAGCAGACAGTATCACTCGATCAAGGTTATTGAATGACAAAGATATTGAAAAGTAAAACCTTGATAGCTGAAGCCAGTCATGATAGCAGCCTCTAGTCTACAGTAAATCAAGAATTGGTTATAAAAAGGTGAATGAAATGTACGGTGGAAGCAGGTTAAAGGAGAACTCCACAACCATAGAGCTCTTCATATTGCTGAATTGCTAAATTACTGTTGAGTATCCCTTTAAAATTCCCATTTATAGAATTGACAATTTCATTGTGAAATTAGAACTTTTATATTTCAAAATAGAAATGACTCCCAAGCAGTAAACCTCCACTGGGCTAACAGAAGTAGTAGACGTGTTCTAATAGAGCAGGACGGCCTTCCAATCTTGCCCCAAAAGAATCGAATATTTTTTATTTATGTTCACGGCTAATGAGAGCGCTGGAAGCGATCATGATCGGTTCCAACCACTCTAATGGTATTGCAGCGATGCCTCAATGTCAAGGCATCGTGCAATACCCCCCTCACTGCCGGGCCGCCAGGTGACCGCTCCCCTGGGCTGCCCCACATGGAGCCCGGCAGTGAGGCAGAGCATCGGAAGCCATCAGGCAGGTTTTTGATGCTCTGCCTATGCGGAGTGCCTCGAGGGGTCGAGGCACTCAGTGAAGATTAAAAAAAATAATAATAATAATAATATATATATATATTTTTTAACCCCTTCCTTCCCTCCCTCTTCCTCCATATGTACTAACCCGATCGCTGCTGTTCCACTGCCAGCGATCGGTCTTCTTCTTCTATGGGCTTCTTCTGACAGCCCAGAGAGTCCCCCCTCTGCAAATTAGGACCCCCAGGAGCCATGGGATCGCTCTGAAAAAGTGGCCATAGTGCTGCCAGCAGAGGGACTGCCTGAACTGGTGAAAAAAAGGAAAAAAAAGTTTTAAAAAGTTTTAAAATAAAAATATGAATGTTAATTAAAAAATATATATATATATACACACACACACACACACACACACACCCCTTATATATGTCATACTAAGTGTATTTATTTATATATAGAGAGTAAAATGACATATATATTATCATAGAAAATAAGTAATAATTAATTAAAAATACATTTAAAAAAAAATGTAAAAATAATAAAAACCAAAAGGAAACAAAAAAAAGTTACCTGCGCTCTTTCCACATCCCTATGTATCAGATCTCTTAGGTGGGTCCTAACTCTAACCATTCGCCTTGCTTCCTTGAGCTTCTGGAAATAAAATATACCCCTTTCTGTCTCATTGGAGATATTTTTGCCAGAAGCTCAAGGAAGCAAGGTGAATGGTTAGCGTTAGGACCCACCTAAGAGGTCTGGCTTGACGTGGCAGGTGGACATATCCTCTCATGGCCATTGGAGGTAACTAAAGGCCTCCATTTGTTTAGCCCCTTAAGGACCAAACTTCTGGAATAAAAGGGAATCATGTCATGTGTCCTTAAGGGGTTAAAGATTCATAGGGATGTGGAAAGAGCACAGGTAACTTTTTTCTTTGGTTTTTACTATAAGTATTTTAGCTGATGTGTACTATGGTCATTGCTGCCGCTCAGGAGTGATGGGAGTTTGAGCGCAGGACTTGTTTCTTTGTATAAAAATAATGAAAAAATATATATATATATAATTTTATTCTAACTGTATTTTGATATTAATATATATACACACTTAGAATGAATATATATATCTCCTTGTAGGAAAGCACTCAAAGGACTTGATATGGTTCATAAATAGTGCTTCTTTATTGCATCAATAGTTTCAAATAGAAAGTGTCAACGTTTCAGTCCCACAAGTCTTGATAAAAGTCCAGTGGGACTGAAACGTTGACACTTTCTATTTGAAACTTTTGCTGCAGTAAAGAAGCACTATTTATGGACCATATCAAGTCCTGTGAGTGCTTTCCTACAAGGTATTCTATATTATGGCCGGTATTAGCACCAAGGCATTACAAGACTGGGAGCAGTGAGTGCGGGACACGAGGAATAATATATATATTTAAATTATACATGCAGATTTATGTAATATTTTACATAATTAAGTAATTTTATTGATTGCAATTTGGGGGACCTGCCTGACAACCCAGGCTAAACTATATTCTATATAATATATAGACTATATTTAACCCTGTAACTTTCCAAGACACCCTAAAACCTGTACATTGAGGGTACTGTTTTACTCAGTAGACTTCACTGAACACAAATATTAGTGTCTCAAAACATATCGCAGCGATGATATTGTCAGTGAACGTGAAGTTTTCTGCATTTTTCACACACAAACGGCACTTTCATTAATGATATCATTAGTGTAATATGTTTTACTGTTTTGAAACACTAATATTTGTGTTCAGCGAAGTTTCCCGAGTATAACAGCACCCCCCATGTACAGGTTTTATAGTGCTTTTGAAAGTTACAGGGTCAAATATAAGGCTGTTTTTTCACATTGAAATTTGCCAGGTTTGTTATGTTGCCTTTGAGAGCGTATGGTGGCCTATGAATGAGCATCACCCCCATGATGGCATACCATTTGCAAAAGAAGACAACCCAAGGTATTGCAAATGGGGTATGTCCAGTCTTTTTTCGTAGCCACTTAGTCAAAAACACTGGTCAAGGTTAGCGTTCATAATTGTTTTTTGCATTTTTAACACACACTCTAACTGGATCTAAGGGGAAGATCTACACTAAGATATATTAAAAAAAACGTCAGTGTAAATGGTTTTCTTCGTGCAGACAGTGGGCTTCATCCAACATGGATACAAAATATACTGTTCGGCCAATTTACCAGAATAAGACGCAATTGTTCGTCTCTGACAGAATATGAAAAGGAATCCCTTTCATTGTGTCTACGCTTTATAGAAAAGGCATACTCGGCAAAACAGGTCTGTAGAGCCTACTTAAAGGTTGGCTGTATGAATAGAGAGAGCCTCATTGATCCAACTGCTAATCAGAATTATGAAGATATACGATTAACCCAGGAGCCAAACATAGAATGGATGTATCATACTAATGAACATGATATTATCCTCAATTTATTGGGAGAATGTAATGCCTCACAAAAAAGAAGGGCAAAATATAATATCAGCACTAAAGAGGTGGTTTTGGGCAAAACTCCCATCTTTTCCACTACATTCAATCGGGGATATGACGAAAGCAGAGGCCTTTTTCATAAATATTGGCCTATCCTGAAAAAGGACCCCATGGTTATATTTCAGTATTTCTGATTTACCAAGGGTTACTTTTAGAAGAGCTCCAAACTTGAAAAACATGTTAGCACCCTCAAAATTTACAACAGATATTGGTGGCCAATCGGAGAGAAAAAGTGGAATTGAAAATCTGCGCTGTGGACATACAGATGCCTCACCTGCAGATTTACCGGTCATCAAATATCCACATTTAAACCATATAAGAGTGAGGAAATGTTCTCAGTTTCGCATAGAATCAATTGTAATACTCCATTTGTTGTGTACCTACTCATCTGCCCATGCGGGCAACAATATGTGGGTCAAACTACCAGATCTTTGAAATGTAGATGTAGGGAACATAGATTGGCTATATTGAATAAAGATAGAAGATCCCCAGTGGCATGCCACTGAGGTCTACCACGATAGTGACCCTTCCTCGATTACAGTTATGGGAATTGATTTCATCCCAACTTAAAGAGATCCTGCTAAAAGGAAGATGATTTTTCGGACATTTAAGTTCTTCTCCTGTCTTCTATCATCCTTGTGTAAATCAAAACCTCATGTTGGTCGTACCTTAATTTATATGCCAGCTTCCTCAACCTCTGACACCTACAGCGCTGTATAACTGATGAAGGGACATTCCTCCAAGGACCCCTGGCTTGCCCTGTCTGAGGGAACCATGGTGAAGGCATAATAAAAGACCTACATGTATGAATAGCATATCTGAACATACCTCAAACACTTGAGTGAACCTTGGGGTCAAAAAGAGGGGAATTGTGATGGAAGGCACCAGGGCCGGACTGGCGATACAAAGCAGCCCTGGGGAAAAAAAAAGTCATTGCGCCATATATTGTCACATGTAATATGTAAGGCTATGTCTTGCCACCCCAGGAGATAGAGATAGAGATAGATATCAAATATATATTGCTTTTTTCAATATAAAATATTGGTCCTTTCAGAGTAAAACGTTTAATTACACAGTAAGCATACTCACATGCAGACACAGACAATCTCACTGACACACACAAGCTCATTGATACACAGCCTCATAGACAAACAATTTCACTGATATACATCAGCTCATTGCATAAAAACACAAGCTCACTCACTAGCAGGCGCACACACACATGCAAGCAAGCTCACTCACTAGCAGGTGCACACACACACACCTTAAAGGACCACTATAGGCACCCAGATCACTTCAGCTTAAGATCACTTCAGCTTAATGAAGTGGTCTGGGTGCCAGGTCCAGCTAGGTTTAACCCTATTTGCTGTAAACATAGCAGTTTCAGAGAAACTGCTATGTTTACATTAGGGTTAATCCAGCCTCTAGTGGCTGTCTCATTGACAGCCGCTAGAGGCGCTTCCGCGCTTCTCACTGTGATTTTCACAGTGAGAAGATGCCAGCGTCCATAGGAAAGCATTGAGAATGCTTTCCTATGGACTGACTTAATGCGGGCGCGGCTCTTGCTGCGCATGCGCATTCAGCCAGGGACATCAGAAGAGGGAGGAGAGTCCAAGCACCGAGGGAGCTGGAAAAAAGGTAAGAGATTAACCCCTTCCTCACCCTTCAGCCTGGCGGGAGTGGGACCCTGAGGGTGGGGGCACCCTCAGGGCACTATAGTGTCAGGAAAACGAGTATGTTTTCCTGGCACTATAGTGGTCCTTTAATGTAGTGGTTCTGGTGTCTATAGCCTTTCCCTGCAGGCTTTTCAATGTAAACACTGACTTTTCAGAGAAAAGGCAGTGTTTACATTGCTTCCTAGTGACACCTCTAATGACAGACACTCAGACGGTCACTAGAGGTGCTTCCTGTGTCAGTGCAGATTGGCCGAGATAATCAAGTTTGATGATCTCATTCAGAGGCAGGGCCAGTTGAGGGAAAACCAGCACGACGTTGGGGAAAAAAAAAAGTGAGTAAAAACACTATTTTTAAAAACACACACAGACGCACACACACCCCGTGACACACACCATGACAGACACACACACAGCATGACACAGACACACACATACACTCCCACTGACAGACTGACACGCATAATTGTTGCTACCTGTGGGCAGACATCTGGGTGTGCTGGCGGCCGCAGGGGGAGCTCTGATGGCGGCCGCAGGGGTGTGGTGTATTACCAAACTCTATAAATTATTATGTACGCATACACATATAAACTCTGGTCCGTCTACTTTAACAAATATTTATTCAGAGACAAAACAACAACAACATACAAATAATGACACACAATCTAACTAACTATACCACCAACAACAGCAACAACAACCTAACTAACAATAACAACTACATCTTATAAAATCCCACTCACAGTTCACCATGATAGAAATTAGGCCATGTCTGCTTAAGGGACTGCTCAGTAGCACAGCCAAGAAGGAACAGAGAGGAATGGAGATAGGGGGAAGTGGTAACCTCTTTCCTGACTTGTAAAGGTATTGAATTACCCAATTACCATATCAAAAGGTAAAGCTTATCCCACTGTAAGAAAGGCATACATGATCCCTGGTCACCATATTAGTTTGATGACGGAATGTCACCACAAGGGGGAGCTGGCTGTTCGGTCTCTGCTCCCCAGCGCACAGCTTAATGAGACCGGGGCCCGAATATGACGTCATATTCCAGCCCCGGTTGTCAGGGCTTACCTGGGTTGGGAGTCCGGCTGGCAGAGATGAATGCTTATCCTTGCAAGAAAACACAGGCCGAGGTGGTCAGGTGGGGATTCACCTGGCCTGTGAGTCGGTGCACGGGGGCTGTGCAGGGTAAACTCCGAGTCACGGTACAGGAACGGATAAGCCAGGAGAATAGTCGTGGGAAGCCAAAGGTCAGAGGATGCCAGAAGTCAGAATAAACAAAAACACAAGCCGGAGTCAAGAGCAAATTATACAATAAAATACGTGCACAATATGGAGGTAAGTATTACAGCTCAAAAACACCTATAAAGTGTGGTATTCCCTACACCACTTAAAAACACATAATTATACATACATATAGAAGGTGGAGCTCTTAGATAAAGATTCCTCTGCTGGGCACTCCTGGGACGACCACGTCTGGCTGTCTGTATGTCGCGGTGAGAACTGTGACACCGGTCTTATTAAGTAGCACGCGAGGGCAGGGGAGCAGAGACAGAACAGCCAGCTCCTCCTGCGGCGGCCACCATCAGAGCTCCCCTTGTGGCCGCCAGCACACCCAGATGTCGCCCAAGGTGCCAACGGCCCACTGTGAAATTTCATGGTATCCCAGTAGTCCAGCCTTGGAAGGCACGTTGACCCAATGCTTAAGCTCTGGATGACCAGTCTGTTCTTACTAAATTCACTAACTTAGATATGATATGCTTTACCCTAGTTTCAGTGTCTGACAAGTAAGCATAATTTCTTTACTTGTTACATTCTGTGGTTACTGAGGAGACGATTGCAGCTTTACTCTCAGCCCCCCTTCTTATGTCCTAGCTAACTTTATGTTTTTTTATATATAACCCTTGAAGTATGCTTAGTTCTGTAAATTCCTTTTATGGTACGAAGTGCCTTCAAGCATCCTGCTTTTTGTTGCACAAGTCACAAAGAACTATATATTCTTGTAAGCTCTTGTATCGTATTAATGATTATAACACGTGTAATTCCGACTATGTAATCTATATTCTGAAATGCCCATGTGGACTTCTCTATGTGTTTGAGACCACCAGAACGGTGAAAGTACGCATAGCCGAACACAAGAGGAGCATTAGAGTGGCACTGCAGACAGGGAACTGTTTGGCATCGGTACCACAGCCTTTTAAACAATGTGGTCATAATATTAATCAACTTAGATACCAGGTAATAGATGGGGTCCCTCCAATCAGAAGGGGTGGTCACAGGCAGCGACTCCTCATGCAAAAGAGAATCCAAATGGATTAGTACTCTTGAGCCCCTTTACCCTATGGGTCTGAATGAAGACTACGATTTAAAATATTTCCTATGAATTTCATGTGGAAGGGGTTCTCTTGGACAGGACGACAGAATAACATTGTTTATACTTGTGACCATAGACTTTTAATAACCCCAGTATTATATTTTGACAAGTTGTTTATAATATCCCTTCTGCAGTTCACAACCAAATGGCCAATATTGGTCCGCTCCACTCGTTCAGTTCTTTGGTATGCGACGAATATGACCAACTTCTGGTCCGCTACTGGAACATCTTCAAGGTGATACGACACCAGAATTTACACGTATATGGAATACTGCGTGGGTAAGCAATAAATATACCTTTTTGATTATTAGTATATAATGTATTTTTTGGGGTCCATTAGAAATCTTGTATATACATTCTTAGAGTTAAATAAATGTTATGAGAACAACAGATTTTTCACTTTTCTCATCTCTTTATTATTTCTTCTTTTTTTATAATTTTTTCTATTTTTCCCAACTAGTCAGTCAGTACTGTGTATTATAATTTCTGGTATTCATGGAGTTTCTTCATTTATATATGTGGTCTGAAATACGTACGCTGGATGTTTGAAGTAACAATAGCATTTTGCAGTCATAGAACAAATAGTACTATTTCCCTTTAATTAGATTTAAATCGGTTGTAATGACTTATTTTGTCCACTACTGACTAATGGCGCTGTTGGACGCTATAGATTTATACCTAATTTGTAAACTCCCAGACACTGTACACATGCTTATGTCATCGTGTAAGGACGCAATGACATCATAACGTACCACGTCGGCTGAATGGCGGGAACGTCAGCTTTTATAACAGATTATTCTGTTTGTTACACCAGGGCCATTTGAAGGGATTAACTCCTGAGCGCGCAGACCCTGATTTACCTGCCTCTATCTAACTGACCCAGAGGAACCCTCTAAGGACGCCCATATCCCGGATTTACCGGCCTCTATCCTGCTGGTCTAAAGAAGATTTCGCAAGGATACTTACACTGAGCAAATATATTGGAAACTTTGAGCCCTTTTTCCTGCACTTTAAGGAATCTACATTACATCTACAACTCATCTACAACTCATCAGGAGGCCTCCCAGACTATCTTGGGGTGAGATCAAACCATGACTTTATCTCAGAATTGTATTTTTCTTATATAGATAATTTTTTTTCATATAATTTTTACATATTTTGCTTTTTTTTTTAATGATTTTTATATTTTTTTTTCATGGGATTTACATCTTGGATTTACATGGAAAGTCTTTCCTCGCCTCCAGCAGAGGCTGAAGCCCAGTGTCCTGACTCAGAATCAGAGGCAGAGTCATCCCCTGTAACAAAAAAGGACATAAGAGACCTCTTAACAGAAATGAGAGAGCTGACATACTAAGCACACAGAAGGAGGTGGGGGATCTCCAACAGAGGCTCACAGAAATGGAAACACGGGAAAGTGCAAGGGAGCATCAGATACAGCATTCCCAAGACTTAATGCAGAATCTCTCCTCACAAGTCCAGAAACTTACTCGGACTATCATCACTATGGAAGCTCGACATAGAAGGCAGAACATACGCCTCCGAGGAATACCTGAAAGCATGGAGGGAGAGGCCTTAGTACCCTACATCCACCGCCTAATGTCTACAATGGGCCTTAAAGGAGGCACTGACCTCAACACAATACTTTCAGCGTTTAGAATCCGAAAAGCTACAACAGATCCAGGAGACGCACCCAGAGATACTATAGCGGTCACGAAGGACATGGCGACTCGCTCCGCTATCATGTCCCGCTCCAGAGACCTGGGCACTGTGCAAATGGAGGGTAGAACTGTGGCCCTATATGGGGATCTCCCATTCACAGCACTTGCGGAACGGAGACAGCTGGCACCAATTGCCAAACAACTACGGGAAGCAGGAGTCAGATACCAATGGGGGGCAGATGGATCCCTGGCGGTACCACGGGAAACCAGATACTTACCCTGACCTCCACGGACGAACAAAAGGAGTTCCTCCTCCAGTTGCATTTCCCAGAGGCCCACAGAAGCGTATGCCCAAAAGCAATCAAGGTCCGAAGAAGAGCCTGTATATACCGACAATGTCAAAGAGACACTCCTAAGCTACGATATATAGCTGTAGCACGCATACCTTTAGATCCCGCACAGCTGACCAACTGCAGCGCAAGACGTACCGAACAAGGTGCCCCTGTTACAAATGCTCATGCTACGGTTTATCGAATACAGAGTAGGCTAATATATATTGCCTCCTGATCCTATAAACTCTTAGCCACCACTTTAACTTCACTGCACCATTGCCAATATTGCAGCCCTGTTATAACCAGATGATTGTCGTTGATATAGCCTTGTTAGCACTTTCATACTACGGCAAAGTTGTATTCTGGGAAATTGTTATAACCATGTTACTACTTTGATATCATGGCAAAGTTGTATTATGAGTATCCAAACTCTAATAAAAACACAAATTAAAAAAAAAAAATAATATAGGACTTTTTCCCAATGTAGTTTACTGATATGGTAGAATAACCACGTACCGATGTGTCCTTATACGAACAATCAGTCTGACATATTTGAACTATTTTACTGTCTGGAATAATTTAACTAATTTACCGTGGTACTTCCCTTTAACAAATACGATTACTTTACCTCTAACTTTAAAAACTAGTTCAAATGCTCCTGCATGAATGGGTACCTACGATATGTGCTCTACTCAGATTAATGAATAATGCTGAAAACTGATAAGTTCTAAATATTCTATAATACGATTTTGTATATAATGACTATATATTCACCCTGTAAATATTACCCCTTATGTTTTCTAACAATAGATATATTCGTGGTTTAATATCTAAGAAATAATTACCATTGAGCCATCCTATATACTTTTTCATATCATGTATTGTGTTATAGGAGTTTCACATATAGCTGTTTAAATGGACCGAATATCTCCAGACCCCAAGGGGTTAATTGAAGCTTGATAATCAGGCGGTCTTTTTCGGTAACCTATTCCAAAACCTTAAGGGTTAATTTGAACCAACAGGTGATCCTAGTGCATTTGATGCACTCGTTGACAATTTTACACTTACCCAATCGAAGGCAGGACGCGAGCAATTCATTACCCCCTCCCACCATGACGTTGCGGCACTGTATTGGCTGTATGACGTAATCTGAGGGGCGGTCCTTTTTCCTTTAAAACATCCGGCGGGCTCCATAACAGTCTACACTCTTGAGAAAGGCGCATTATAGCACCGAAAGGCGCGTTGAGCAGACGCTGCCGTTAGACTTTCTTTTCACTTTAAAAGGGAATCTATGATAGCCTAATTTTATCCATACCCGATTGCAGGCTCTTAGCAGCTTGAATTTTGCACTCAGATATTGCTACTACTAGGGATTTTTGCAACTGGGGCTGGTTTCTATTTCTAATTTAAGCAAATATGGAGTGAAGTATCTTGACACAATTTCTCTAAGTATCTTAGCTGGGATTTCGCATGCTCTGGTCTTGATGGGATGTATCCATCTAAGTTATATGCTGCTAATACCCTAGATACTGCGTCTATATAAGATTCTTATTAGAAGGCTACCTAAAGGTATCGTCGCTATCTATACCTTCAATATAGGATTTAC